TGCAGAGTGAATTCCAGGACAGATAAAAGTTACACAGAAAAACCCTGTCTCAAAAAATGAAAAAATCAAAAGTAAAAGAAACAGAGTAATAAAAAAGCCACGTAAAGATGGAAAACACAGAAAACTGTGGATACTATATGCTATTCTGTTGTCTTTAAATTGTTTGAGTCTGAGGAAATAACAACAACTGATAAAGAAATGCTGCTGGATTAATTAAATTTATATATTTTAAAAATGCGTTGACTCCAAAATTTAAGTCTAAGGACAAGTTACTGGGGATAAGGATTTCTATTTTTGTTTCCACAGAAAATGATAGGATGTGGATTCCTTCCAGACTAATGTGGTTTGAGCAAGCCAGACCCCCTGAAACAGAGTCTCAGGTGATCCAACATTCAAAACAGCTGAGACGAGGCAGCCTTGCAGACTATAGCCAGGGTTTCTGCATCTTAGAATCCCCATGACAGCGCCTCCTACCAGCAGGGAAAGAATGTCACCCAAATTCCCAAATATTGTTTATAAATGTTTGTTTTCATTTAAATGGGGTTGGTTATAAATGGTTAATGACAACAACCAATCTCTTTTCAAAAGTAAAAAGAAAATTGTTGTATAGATATGAATATTTTGTGTTGGAATGGATTTTTATTTATTGATACAATTTAAGGTCAATTTTGGTCAATTAAGGTCAATTTAAGGTCTCTTTTTGTTTAGGTGTTGTGTTTATATAGCTCAGTTACAAATGTAATGTATAACTTAGTGCACATTATAGATAGTTATCTATAATAGTCAAAACTTACAGTTAGGTGAGTTAGTATTCCTAGATATATAGAGATGTATTTAAGATGAATAGGCATTCGTCAAACCTTTCAAAGACCTACAGAATATGGCATTTAAAATGGTTTAGGATTTTTCTTGACAGTGAAGCACAACTACTCCTGGCAACACCACCTGCATCAGAAAGGAATATAGACATCAAAGAAACATTTATGGAGTTTATTTCCAATATGTTAAGACTAACCATTTGGACAAGATACTGCTCTTGTCTGGTCTGTTTGACTTTATGCTGTATAAACTGGACATGCAGGACACACAAAAAAGTGACTGCTGATTCAAGATGGACATTGCTACAGAGTTCCTGCTTCGTGGAAGAGTCTGCCAGACAGTCTGCAGGACATAGAGGAAAGTGACTGACAAACTGCAAATACAAGAAGACAGTTTAAAGTTTCCTACTTTGCTAAAGAGTCTGCCAGACACACTATGGCCTATGGGCTGAAGATGGAACATTACAGAACTTCTGGTGACTGACCAGGCAAGTTGTCTCTGTCATTTCTAGAGTTTATATATTATCCTTCTCTGGTCTTTGAAGGAGTTGAAGACAGATAGTTATGGTAATAGTTTTCCTTAGTTAGGATTAAAGATAAGGACTTTAGACTCATAGAGATAGAATAGATGATGGAAATTTTCTTAAATCTTACTAAATGTTAATGGACTAAATATTGCTAACTGTGATTCTTATTTGGTAACTGTTGTGTGATATATTTTGCTATGTTAAGGTTAAAAACATTTCCTTTTTTTAGACAGAAAAGAGAAGATGATGGGAGATGTCATTCTGTAAATATGTTTCTCATACTGGTTAATGAATAAAGCACTGTTGGCCAATAGGAAAGCAAGATAGGCTGTTTCTGTCCTTGCTGCACCTTTTGGAAGTTGCCCATCCGCACTTCCTGCCTACCCTAGTATTGTTATCTTCCTTCTCAGGTCTTTGATGAGGTTGAAGATTAGACTATCACAACTATTATTCATTCTTCCTAATTATAAATATTAGGAACTAGACTTAAGCTTTCCAGCTTAGGACAACTCTATTTTAAACTTTGTTATGCCTGCACCCTCAGACTAGATATGTAGGTGTTAAGTTTGTATGTTCTCGATTTTCCTTTTCTTAGAGCACACTTGCTATTCGCTGTTTTGTATATAATTGTGTATCAAGCCTAAATCTTTTCTTTAAACTAAAAGGGGAATTGTAGTGAGATATTCAACTGTCCTCACCTGTGGCACTGACCACGCCCATTGGAGATGGGGGCAGGTGTGGACATGCCCTGGGGGAACTAAGTCTGGGGCAGGGCCCGGGAGCACTCTCTTGCTGCTGGACTGGGACAGAGAGCATCCAGAGGCATCCTTGGGACCAGGAACCTGCTGGTGCTCATCTGTCTCTGGTGTAAGTTATTTCTTCCTGAATAAACATCTATTCAGCCTACCTGTTTTTCCCGATCCTTATTAATCTACAATAAGGCACCACAGGAAGGCATCCAGGAGACTTGGTGAGGCAGAGCAACATTCCTGAATAACTTGAGAAAAGTCACAGTCATGGCCTTCAGTTTCTGACTAGTCACAGCACTTTGTGTAGGTAAATCATAGCCTAGATTTTGCTCCAACCACAGCCTTTGAGGCTTATTTTTGGACCAATCACAGCCTGGACTGCTAACATCAGTCATAAAAGTGTGTTTGCCAAACAACCTGGAAAGATATTCCCCCTCTTCTCTTGGTGAAAATCGCTGCAGGGTCATGTAGAGCTCAGTGAACCTTCTGATAGCAAAGAGTCTGCTTTTAAACTGTTCCCAACAGCTAAAGCAAACTTAGTGGTTTAATACAACAAATGCAGCATGTGTAGATATGTATGTTTGTGTGTGTGCGTTAGAGAGAGACAGAGAGAGGGGTATGAATGGAGTGGATGTGTGTGGATGTTTGCTCTTGAGTCCTGAGTGTGGGCACACATGTGGTCGATAGACATGTGGAGGGCAGAGTACAGCTGTAGGCATGGCAGGCATCAGTCCTCTCATGCTTCTTCCTTGCTAGAAATTGTCTTTTTGACTCTCCATTGCCCAGACTCATTGGCCCAGGACCTTCTGATGACTGCCCTGCCTCTGACTCCCTTCTCAACACAGGGCCACACTAGAATGACTTGTTTTCTTGCTCTCATTATCTGAGCGTCCCCCAACAAGACTGACTGTGATTGGTTAACACATTACGTGGGATTGTACATTGAGTGAGCACACCACTAAGGTCTTTATGTGGGAGACGCACATAAAGGAGACTGCAGAGTACAGACTCCTCAGCAAGACAGTTACAGGCTACAGACCCCTGGGAGTGCTGAGGAGCATGGGTGCCATGCTTGTATTTAGAAGTGCAATGTTCCAGGTTGGCCAACTCCCAGGTACTGCCTGCATTTTCTCCTACAGCTCCCCCTTCTATACCATTTTGCATTCCTGAGGGAAGGGCTTCCTGACCAAGGAGCTGGGATGTGTCAACCAATATGTGTTAGTTTGGTGTTTTTGTGGGGCTCTGACACTGCTGCCTGCCTTTGAGAGCCTTTCCCAGCTACTTTCTCATCCAGCCTTGCTATGAGGATTTGGGCCTATTACTATTATTGTATCTTGCTGTGCTGTGTTCAGTTGATATCCCTAGAAGGCTTGGTCTTTTCCGAAGGGAAATGGAGGAGGAGTGGATTTAAGGGAGAGAGGGCATTAGGGGGAACTGTGAGGAGCTGGGGGAGGGGAAACTGTAGTTAGTATTGTGTGAGAAAAGAACATTTTGGGGTTTGTTTTGTTTTTGTTTATTGTTTTGTTTTAAGGAAAATGGTTATGAAAGGCATGGGGGAAAACAAACAGTAAAAAATGACCAGAAATAATCACACGTTTTAATAACTTGAAAACTCATGTTTCAAATTCCCCAATCAAAGAAAACTGGCAAATTGGATTAAAAGATAGGACACTCCTATTTATTGCTCCAAGAAACACAGCTCACCAAGAAACAAAGCCTGGCACTAACTTAAGGTTAAAGGATGGATAGTTGCAATTTCCCATCCTCCAAATTTCAAAATTAGATTTTAAAACATGCCAACTATTCTTTGTGTATTTGGATATGTGCTCAGGGTGTGAGAGGTTATTTGATGGTGTGGTGGATGTGCTTTTATTTTCTGAGGAGAGGAATCCCTTGCTGTTTTTCTTTGCAGTCATGTTAGTTTTCATCCCCACACGGGGGGCAATTTTCCTTTATTACATATCCTCCTCAACGTTTCCATGTCTTCAATTTTTTTGGCAATTGGCAGAGGGCCAAGCTTGAACACTAGACTGACATTGACTTTTGTAATGGCTTCTAGTATTGGTTAGGTACATCAATAAACACTGACTTCAGACCTGATAGGTGAGTGTGCACACCTGTAATAATATTAAATAGTCTTGATATTATTAGCATGTTAAAATACAGTGAGACATAGCTTCCTGGCGCAATTTCACCTTCATAACTATCCAATAGTAAGTTAATGCTGGAACAAAAGTGATAGAGATAGATACATTGCTTTTTGGAGATAAGTGTCATGGGTAAGCATCCCTAAAAGGTACCTTTAGCATTACTCAACCTGAACAGCATCAGAAGGCTGGGACCAACACCATCCCAAGAGGCTGTGTTCACATTATCAGTTATAGAAATATTTCCTTCTGATGGTGTCATTGTTACCAGGTAACAATTTTGCCTCTATCCCTATCTTCTCATAGAAAGAATGTGGCCAAAGTACAATTTGAGAAGTTGTCTTAACAAAGGAAACTAACTCAAAGTGAACATACCCATCAGAGAAAGATTGGAGCAGGCTGGCTGAAGGAGCTGGGAGACGAGTGGGTTCTGCAAGCTGTTATAGAGTATTTCATTGCACTTTGACACCCAAAGTTTGTGTTAAAAACAGATTAATCTTGACTAAGAGAGTTGACCAGAATTAGTAATAGTGAAGCCAAGAATACAGATAGGAAAGACGCACGGGAAGGAGTAGGGAGGAACTGGGGGATTTTCAGTCTGGGGAAATGTGGAGAGAGGTGCTTGCTATGTCTCTGGTGAAAAAAAAAAAAAAATAGGTCAGTTGGTCACTCCTCCACTGCTGATTTGATCTATGGGTTTTAATTCAAAAATCTGACTCCTGAGTCTTTATTGGTACTAGAACATTTACATAAAGCAATATGGTGGTGTCCAACGCATGGCATGAGATCATGGAAGACACCACTTTCCCCTCCACAGCCACTCTGCATGCAGCTCCTCCCATGGCCGCCCTTCCCCAAGCACTCCCCAAACCCTCCCTGCAGGCTGTGGGCTTCTCCCATTATAGGCCCCCAGTGTCTGCCCCGCAGGCCAATGCCACATGTACCCCCCCATATGGCACAGTGCCTGCTCAAGCTTCTGCTGCTGCTAATGTTCCACACATGCACTCGGGGCACTCAATTCCTGCAAGCTCCCACAGCTGCAGTGGCCTGATGCTGGCTCTGTCATCCAGGCCTCCCCCATACCTGCACTCATGGCATCCTTACCCCCTGCCATGCTCCTGCCAGCCAAGGCCCCACCACCCACTGCACTGCGCCAGCCCAGTAATTTTGGTGAGGCTCCTGGGAAGTCTAAAGAAAAATATTTCCCACAATAAGAAAGGGAACTATCACAATGCAGGGAGTTAGGACTCTATAGTACCACGGTGAATGGCTTGAAAATGGAAAAAAATAAATGAAGGAATAACAGCGTTATCTGGAATTGATATAATGTCAACTGTAAATCAGTTTGGTAATTCATATTTTATCCCTAAAAAGTGGTTTGATAAATGAACAAAATATGAAAAATTAACTAATGAGATACAAACCTTGTAAAGACCTACTAAGGGAAATAAACGTGTTCAGACACAGACAGAGGAATTTAGACCAGAACCTATCCCACCCCTGTATGATGAAACTGAGAAGGGTTGGCCCGGGATTATTAGAAAAGCAACCTTAGTTTATCCAGTTACTATACAAGAACAACCAGCAGACAATAGGCACCCTAAGGGTTAGAAGAAATTAAATGGAATCCTATAGAAATACTAGATTTGAGGAGATTGAAGGAAGTAGATATTTCATATGGCATTCATTTACCCTATGTGAATCAGATATTGAATTCATGGACAACTCAGAACAGAATTATCCTTCCAAAAAGCAATATCGGAAGGTAATTCTCAGTTACAATTGAGAACATGATGGAAAGAGGAAACTATGGTAATAGAACAATGAAATAATAATAGAGGTATTGATATTTTATAAGATCATTTCCTAGTGAAGGTCAAAATGCTCATTTGCAAAGACAGTTTGATTTGATGATCACATCTTGACTTTATGTCATCTAGCAGCTTTGAATGCTTGGGACAAGGTTGAAGAGTCAGGAAAGAGGTCTGAATCATTTACTGAAATTATACAAGCCATCCCCCCCCAAAAAAAGTACTGATTTTTTTTTTACAAAGATTGACTTCAGCTATAATAGAATAGTAGCAGATCCAGAAGTCAGACAAATATTAATTGAATCTTTAGCTTTTAAAAATGTTAATTCAAAATGCAAAATAATGATTAGTCCTTTAAAGGAAAGATTGTCAATATTAGAGGAATGGATTAGAAATATGCTGATATTCGATCTCACACTTATGATGCAAATTTGATAGAAGTGATTATTGATGTTTAATAAGGTTCAGGAGAGCAAATAGGCCGAATAGATGTTTATTCAGGGAGAAATAACTCACAACATAGCAGATGAACACCAGCAGGTTCTTGATCCCAAGGATGCCTCCGAAAGTGCTCCTGTCCCCGTGCTGCAAGCAAGAGAGCTCTCTAAGCCCCCTCCTCAGCCTTAGTTTCCCTAGGTCATGTCTGGCCCTGTCTCCACCCCCCCCATGGGTGTGGTCTATGCCACAGGTGCAGACAAGATGAATATCTCACTACAAGTGATTTCTAAAAATTTTAAGGAAAACCAAAATGTCAAATGTCTCAATTGTGGCAAACAAGGTCATCTGAAAGGGATTGTGAGCAAGGTGTTCTTAGAAGCAATGTTTTCTAGAGATAATCCAAACAGATTGCACCCCTTCTAGAATGTGCAGAAGGTGTGGCAAAGGAGGTCATTGAACTAATGAATTCAGATCAACAAGGGACAGGCAAAGTAATCCTTTGCCATCAGAAAACACCTTTGGAGACCACTTGCAAGCTCTATTATCAAATTCGGTTCAATCATTCCCTGTCAGCATTGGAGAAACTCATTCACAGAGCAATTAGAAGACTTAATGCCTGCTGTTAAAAATCATACTACTCTGGATGTGCTCAAGAACACAATAGCTTCAGCAGATAAAACAAAAAATTCTGGAGAGGTGATAAAAGAAGTATTTTGAGAAACTTCTATAAATGATCAAAGATCAAAGCTAAAATATAAATAAATGGTATTGTAATTGAAGGTTTAGTAGACAGAGGTGCAGATGTAATGATAATTTCACCAAAACCTGGGCATCCAAATTGGCCAGTCTTCAGGAGGTAAATATTTGGTTTCTAGGAATTGGAACTTTATCTCAGGAAAAACAAAGAACAAGGTGGGTAGAGTATATTGGGCCAGAAGGCCAGTTATGGCAATTAAAGCCACATGGAGCTAACACAGCAATGAATTTATAGGAACACAATTTGCTATAGCAATAAAAAACATAGATTAACATTTCTCCAATATCAGAAACAAACCATAAAGTAAAGAACACTTCCGTGGAAAAGTATTAAAAGGTATTCTCAAGAACAGTCACCAACCACTCAAGGTGTACATAAGCTGGGCACAACAGCTGATGATCTTTCAAAGGCAGCACCAGCCCCACCTGTCAGTGGTTAACTGACAGACTGTATGGGTAGAACAATGGCCTTTGGCATCAGAAAAGTTGCAGGCCCAGAGACAGCTGGTAAAGGAGCAGCTAAATGCTCAACATATTGAAAAACAAACCAGTCCTTGAATTCTCCTATATTTGTCACTAAAAAGAAACCTGGAAAATCAAACAGTGTTAAAAGATTTAAGAGCCATAAACAAGGTGATTCAGCCAATGGGCCCTTTACAACCTGGAATTCCCTTGCCTTCTTTATTACCTAAAGGAGGGTCTACTATAGTGCTTGATTTAAAAGACTATTTCAGTATAATTTCACAAGAACGGGATATAGGAAAAGTAGGCCTTCACCATGCCTACTTATATTAATTCCCAACTATTCCACAAGGGATGTTAAAAAGCCCCACCTTGTATCAATACCACAGGCATTATAAATAATTCATTAACAGTTTTGGGGTGATATCTTACCAGATGATTAAGGCTCAAATACCTTAGAAAAATGTTTGGTGAATTAAAGAGAACTTTGCCCCATTGGCAGTTTACAAATTTCAACTGATGTTGAAAGAGAATCGGCTGTGACAGAAAAGAAGTCTCAGCATGCACATGTAGACTATGTGGGTCCAAAGCTTGAAGCTTGATTGTGTTTCAGTTATGTTGCCTAAAGACCACTGGGCAGATGAGACAGAGACAGCTGAAGAAGAAGGATGAATAATCAAGATAAAATGTCCCAAAGAAAACTAAATTGCACACCTCCAACAGGGTAGAATTTTATCATGTCTTCCCAAACGCTTGCCTTTGCTGCTTTGCACAAATATAACAGGCAAATGGACTTTTTGAGTTGAGTTCAAAGTTTTATACCTAAATTAATTCCTATCATAACTTGCATTGCCAGCCTAAAAATATCCTTTTAGACCTCTAGACATTTTCTCAGACAGCTTAAGCTGTTCTCTAAAATAGATTGGTGCTGCCAGGAGAGATAATAGAATCTGCCAAATACAAATTGACTAGGCATTGTGAATGTAATTCTTATCTGATAATTGGTCTATTAGTACATAGTTTCACTGTTAGAGTTAAAACCTTTCCTTTTTAAATATACAAAAGGGGGGAGGGTTTCAGGATATTTGAACACACTGTGAAACCCTGAGACTGTATTAATAAACTTAACCTTGAATGGGGGGGGGCAATGGCTGGTTGGCCAGAATTAGCAATAGAGAAGACAGGAATCTGAATAGAGAAGATAGAGAGAGGAGAGACTGAGGGATTCACAGGAATTTTTCCATCTGGGACATCTGGATGCTCGTCCACTGCTGCTTTGATCTATCAAGTTTTAACTCCAGTGTATGACTGCCCTGTCTTATTGTTACTAGATCAAATTAGACAAAACAGTGTGCTGTTGTTTACAGAAGTTGCTCATAGTCTCAACTCTACGATGTCATTGTTAAGTTCTCCTCTTGGGACTTCCTCTACCCTACATTAAGGAAATGGTTCCAAGGCCAAAATATTCCCACAGTTTTTCCTTCCCTGCTCATTAGCTTACTCATTCATGATATATATAGTCATCTAAAAAGTCCCCTAGTATCTTAGTTTCTTACATCACAATAGGATCCCAACTGCAGCTTGGAGCGTTTCTAACTACAAGGGTACACAGCAAATAAGGCACAGTTGTAGTCTCCTTGATTGCCTCCTTGGTCAAGATGTACTTAACTAGAAAAAAAGATGGGTGTTCATGATCTATCTCCCCTCTGCTTATATCTGCAAGCAGCTGTGTGCACTTAACAGTTTCAGGCCCTTCTCAACTCACTGTTGCTAATTAACGATTGATTCATAGTGCTACTTTTTTTTCAGAAGTTTTCTTAGATGATTTGTTACTAAGCATTTTCACAAACTGAGTTATATTTTGAAGTTTCATTTGTTGAAAAGTTACAAAGGATAACAATTTAAGTATTTCTGACAAGTAAAAATATTGAGATTTTGTTGTGGCTCAGCAGTTCGGAGCAGTGACTGCTTTTTGCAGACTCCGGTTTGATTCCAGCATCCACATTCCAGCTTTCAACCATCTAAAACTCAAGTCCCAGAGGATCCAATGCCCTCTTCAGGCTTCTAAGTGCACTGCATGCATATGGTATGCAGATACACATGCAATCAGAACATCCATACACACAAAACAATTTTTAATTAAAAATTACTTTTAGATGAAATTTTATTTGGATCACAGCACATACCTTAATACAAGTAATTGAATCTGACATTGAGTGAGTAGGTTCCATAGATGTCTATTTTAACAGACATTTTATTAAATCTCATTATAAAGTAAATTCAGCCATTTATTTTCTTTACAATGGAAGTTTAGCTTTTTGCCAAGTAAAGTAACATCCAAGAGATTTAACAGAATAAACACTTATTTCATTTTAACTTTTCTAAATGAAGATTGAAAAGATGACACTTATTTTCCACTAAAATAATCAAATAAATATAGCTGCACACTTCCTACAGTTTGTTCATGAGCCGT